CAGGCCCCCAAATTTGCCAGCAGCAGCTCCATAGCCCAGAGGCCCCAGAAGTGGTGGAGATCAAGAAACTCTGAGTGCACCAGGCTCCTTTCCCAGGAGCTTTCAAATCTTCCTGCCAGATGCACACAGGTGAGCCACCCCAGGCCTGGATGCAGCATCCTCTGCCTCCCTTGTCCCTGCCTCTCAGCACACGGGGGCCTCAGCCCAGGTTAGCTGCTTGGAGGCCCCACAGTGCGAGTGCCCCTCCCACCCAAAGCTCATGCCTCTATTCATGCTGTTCCCTGTACCTGAATGTTCTTGCCTGTCTTGCGAATACCTATTCATCTTTCAATACGCACACGGAAAGGGACCTCTTCCTGGAAGACTTCCCTGACCCCAGGATGATGTAGCTGCCACACCCTCACCTCTAGTTCCCTGTGTTCCTTCCTCGTCACTGCGTCCATCACTGTACGCTGTCATTCTGTGTACTTCCCCCCTAATCTCACTTCCTCAAAAGTAGGGGCCAGGCTGACCAACCTGTGTGCTGCAGAGTCTGACACACACAAAGTGCTCCATCAATAAACCGACGGGCTCACATTCCACGTCCCCACCACAGAGAAGCCTTCCTGGATGCCCCGCAGCAGAGTCTGCCGCTCTCCAGTGTTGGAGACTATTGTACCTGTCACACAGGACAAGTGACAAGAACTAACTTGAGTGTCACAAGTTAGTTTACAAAATACTTTCCACTCTAGTTCACCCAAACCCTTAGATGCTTAAGAGTCTGAGATTCCTGGTCCTATTATCCCTACAGGGGGAGTGAGCCGCCCAGCCACATCCCAGAGGGAAAGCAGGGCTAGAATCCTGGCTCTCTGGCTTCCAGGTCCTGGAAGTGATGAGGAGACCATGGTGAGCCAGGCTCTACCCACTTGGCACTCTGTCCTGGAGCCAGCTCCTCATGAGACTGTGGGTGTCTCCAGGGCAGCAAACAGCTGCAGCCCCGGCACCGCGGGCACCAAGGAGGCCTGAGGAAGGATCGAGGAATCACACTGACGCTGGAAGCAGGGCTTCCTGCCTAGAGGACGGGGCAGTTCCCAGGAGGGCTGAGGGACCATTAATGATTCATTCACTCAGCAAATATTGACTGAGTGCCCACCGCACACCAGGCTGTGCTGGATGTCAGCAACACAACACTGAGAAAGATGGGCCAGGGCCCCATTCCAAAGGGGCTGACATTCTCATGGAGGAGACAATTACCTAAACAGATAACTACACACGATAATTTAGGTCATGATGAGGGCTCTGAAAAATAAAACAAGATGTGGCAACCAGGGGGCGGCTCTCCAGAGGGCAAGGTCAGAAAAGGGCTCTGAGAGGAGACTGAGTGATGAGAACCAGCCACACAAAGGTCTAGGCGGAAGGGCAGCAACCTCCACAGCCCTGAGATAGAACCGGGTCAGCGGGGATGCTGGGGGAACGGGAAGACCACTGGCAGTTCTGGAGAACAACATGGTGGGAGATGAAATTGGGAGGCAGTCAGGGCTACTCACAGGGGGCTTCACGGCCACAAAGAGGAGTTCAGAAAGTGTGAAGTATGATATGGGGCAATGGCCGTTCACGTGGCCTCAAAGCTCTGGGGACTCATGGGATCTCCATCCACCAGGGCAAGCTAAGGGAGCTTCCTCCAAAACCTTGGGAAGGGGCAAAATGCACCACCCCCATCGTGGAGACTGGGGGCAACCTTCTCTCATTCAGGAAACTGCTGAGCAACGACAATGGCCACAGTCCTGTGCTCAGCCCTTCCCCACCTCCCCACACCTTGCTCTCGGTTTGAGGAGGCAAGTCACTGACTGGGAGATGGATCTGGGTTCTAACCCTGAACTGGATAATCCTGGACCAGTCCCTTCTCTCAGGGGCCCTCAGTGTTCCATCTGTAACATGAGGGCTTGGCCAGATCCAGCGCTAATAGATAGTTGTGATTTATGACTCAAATACTTGCTGCTGAATGTGGAGGTGGGGCAGGATTTCCACATTGGCCACTGACTCACCCAGCCTGCCAATAAAATAATACTCTTGGCCCTCCTTCCCCTGCCCAGCAGAGCCCTCGGAAGCACAGGTAACTCCAAAGCACCCCTGTGCAGCTGGGGAAGTGGTGCATGGGAGGTAAAATCTACAAATTAGGGGAGAGGGAGCATGAGAATGATGCTCTCCTCCTGTGATTCAGGACTGAGTTAGTGACTGTCAACCCTCAGTTCCAGAGTTAGCTCCCAATTATCTAGTCTCTTAGTTTCACCCCCTACCAAGCTCCTGCTTGCGTAACCCCGGTGATGGGGAGCTCCATACTCACCCCTGTGGAGGCTGCTGTGGTCCTCAACAGCAGTTAGAAAGGATTCCTCTACTACATCAAAACCTGCCCCCTGCCATCCCACACCTGTTCCTGGCCTTGCTCTTTGGAGCCGCACAGAACAAATCAGCTCAGAATTTTACTGGGGCTGCCAGCATTTTGTGCTGGGTACTGTGCTGAACGTGGGGACACAGGCAGGCGTCAGAGCGCTCTGACCTGCAGAGCTTCCCATCCAGGGGCAAAGGGAGGCATGTGAATGTGCCTAACTCTGCAGCCTCCACCCCTGTCACAGGGCAGTCCTTCAGAGATTAGAAAATACCAACAGACTCCGGCCTCCCCCAACAGATACCCACCCACCCATGGCTCCCACAGCTGGCCTTTCCTTTTGGCCAAGAAACCAGACACCGAGAATCAATCTCTAACCCATTACAGGCCTTCCCGTCATAGAATCCATGGTCTCTCCTTCAATACCGCCACTGACAGGGTGCTCACCACCTCACTACAGACGAACCTTATCTGCAGAGGGAAACCAGGCCACTGGGGAGTGGCTTCAAAGACTAAGGATGTCGAGAGCAGACCTAATGCAGATGCCTAGGTAACACAAAATTTGATTCCACAACCTCCCCTACCCCACCTGCTCTTTCACCAAAGGAGCTCCCAGAGAGCTAAACAGACTGGTTGGCATTTCATACCAGCCCTTGCAACATCCCATGATGGAACTCCCTGCAGCTAGTATTGAAAAAAAAAAAAAAAAAGTTTTCAAGATCTGACAGCAACCTGGGGAAATTCTCCTGATATGATTACTATGTAACTTGGTCAAAATCATTCGCTAGAAGTCCTCTTGGATGACAAACTTTAGGTAAAAATTGTGAGGGTCAGGGTCACTGGCTTCTGGAAGATTCGGCTCACAGCCTATGGAGAGCAGAGGCGAGAGAGGTGGATCTCCAGGAAGGAGCAGCATAGAGAGCACCCCATCCCATTACCTGGAGACAAAAGCATCCTTAAAAGCATGAACGCCCTTAAAGGCAAGATCCTTCCTTCGTCTGTTTGGGGCATCAGTGGATGGAAGGGCACTCTTAAGTAAGAGAAGGGTCTCCCAGAGGTTACTGGACCAGGTGAATGGGGCAGCTCAGGCATCTTGATCCCAAGATGGTGACAGCAGCTTGGTACCTCTCCAAGGGCAATAAGCAGCACCCAGATCAAGAGGGGCAGATAATCACAGCGACAGTCACACTGGGAACATCACCAACGCACAGGACATGGTCAACTGAGACAGCTCCAGAGTGGGTTACCCTGCAGCCACTAGACCGTTAGAAGCAATTTTGTCAACAGAAGCAAATACGAAGTACCACTAAGAGGGAGAAAACAGGAACCAGAACTATATCTACGGCACGCCTTCAACTTTACATAATGTGGATAAATAAAATTATAAAGAAATATACTCAAACCCTAATAGGAAGCTATCTTTGGACAGTCGATTTACCAGCAATTTTTACTCTCTTCTTGTTTTTCTGTATTTTTCAAAATTCCAATCATTACATTTTATTCTTGTAATGAAGGTGGGTGGAGGAGGCGATTGTTAGTTACTAAAGAAAAATCCTAAGTAGGAGAGGTTCAACAAGCAGCAGAAAGACTTAAGAGGAAGGAGGGAGGCTTCAAGCAGGACAGACACACAGACAAGGACAGTTGTGACCACAGCCCACGGTCTCCCGGATTGTATTTAATCCCCAGGCCAAGTCGTCTGTTAAGGAAACCTTGGGCAGGTCATGCCTCCTCCCATCTGTCTCTCCAACTCTAGGCCTGGCGTGCTCAAGAGATGCTCTTCCTCGGGTGGGAAAAGCTCTCGAGCTTGATCTCAGCTCTGCCCGATTCCCTGAGGGCCTCAGTTCCACACGGGTCAGTACCTCGGGTCCTCTGGCCCCTCTTTTTTAAGTGTGCCAGGCTCACAGTTGCCGCTTCGTGGGCTCCCAAGCCTGGGCTGGAGGACAGGTGTGGGCAGAGGACAGTGTGGGCACACCTGTCCCACCCAGGCATGTTTCCCGTCTGGTGGCTGTTGCATGGGATTGCAAAACCCTTGCCACTCTGCCCCATCCAGTCTCTCACGGCTTGCTCCAGCTGGTGAGAAGAGAAGAGAGGGGAGGGAAGGCCAGAGGCCAGAACAATGCTATGGGCTAGAGAGGAGTTCTCAGACTATCCCTAATTACCGAGGGGTGGGAGGTATCACCCTCATTTCACAGATGAGGAAAACAAGCCGGGGGAAGGGAAGTGATGTAACAGAGGTGGCAAAAATTGACTAGCGCCAGAGTGGAGAATTAGCCCAGACTTGACTACCATGGCAGGCTGCCTGGATCAAACTAGGTAACGATTATTCTTCTTTCATCCCAGACCCAGATTTCGGGGGTGGGGTGAGGGTTGGGGGTGGGAGAGGCAAGCTTCCCCCGAACAAAAGGGGTTAGGACCTTAAGGTGCACAGCGGCCGGTCCTCCAGCAGCACTCTCATTATGAGCACACTCTCCTACCTGCCTTTGAGCCCTTCATGGTATCCTGTCCTGAAAACCTGGCAGCTTCACAGCCCCAGGATGAAAGCCCCCGCGGCCTGCAGACCCCTCGGCGGGAACGGCTCATCGCCCAGACCCTCCATCAGAGCTCTCTCTCCGGGCCGCCTGGGCCCGATGCTCACCTCGCAGGACCCCGGAGTAGGCGGCTATGAGGGTCTTCATGCTGAAGCGGGGACACTCACGGCCGTGCGGGAAGCCGCCTTACCCCGCGCCCCTGGCCCATGCCCCGGCCCCGGGGCCAGGGCTTCGCGCCGAGCACGGGGGCCCGGAGACGGCGCCGACGCGGCGCGGCTGCTGCGCGGGGAGCTGCGGGCGCGCGGCCGGGGCGACCCGAACGGCAAACCAAACCGGAGCCTCGGCTGCGACCAGGACGTTCAGTGCTCGCAGCGCCGCACTTTATAACCTCACAACGGGGCGGGGCCGACGCGGGCGGGGGCGGGCCGGCCGTTCCACGGCGCCCCTCCTCCCGCGGGGGAGCGCGCCCACCGCGCGGCTCGGCTGGGTCCTCTGCCCCGGCGCGTCGGCGGCGTGCGGAGTCCTGGGGAGCTCGAGTCCATCCCCCCAGAGGCGCGCCTCACCCCTCCTGCGCCTCCCGCTGGCCCCGGCCTGCGCCCCCCCGCCGAGATTGGTACGGCCGGCAGCTGGAACGTGGGCCGGCAAACCGAGCACGTGCGGGGCAGGCCGAGGGCGTGCGGACGCGGGAGGGGGAGGGCTGTGCTGTCCATTTGGCTGGACCTTTTCTTGGTTACAGATGGTAAGGTCCCGCCTCCCGTTGGTGGTCTCCGGCTTCGTTAGGTGCGGGCTGGGCTCCTAAACACTGCACCCCACCCAGCTGCCTCTGCCTTTCCACCTGTTTATCGAGAAACCTCACAGAGCATCTCTACGCTGCTGAGTCCTGGGAACCCTGCCCAGTGAGCCCAGGCGCTGCCCTTGGGATGCTCAGGTTAGTGAGGGTCGCGGGGCGTCAGAGATCCCACACAGATGCTGGCAGCAGTGCTGGGAACAGCGGGAAGCCAGAGGGCTATGCAGCCAGAGGAGAGAGGCCCCTGCCTGGGCCGGGGGCTGGGAGCGCTTCCAAGAGAGAGAAGTGCACAGCAGCTTTGGAATCAGTTAGACCTGGAGTCCAGTTCTGACCCTGCCTTTCCTGAACCTCAGTTTGCGTATCTGTAAAATGGAAATAATAATTATTTTGTGAGGTGCTTTGAGAACTAAATGAGGTAAAATATGCAAAAAGCCTAGCATAGTGCCAGGGACACAGAAGGTGTTCCAAAATTATTTTCGTTGCCCATGGATGAGTAGTTTTGCAGATGGAGGGTGTGGGGGCAAGGCAGAAGGGTGGGCCTAAAGTCTTAGAAAAGCTAGCGTGTTTGGGGCAGGGCTCAGGTGGCTGGAGCCAAGGCAGCTGTGGGAAATGAAGCTGGCACTTTATCTTAGGAATGACCTTGAGTGCCACTCCTGAGACGTTGGGGTGGGAGTGTGGTTCTTAGGATAGCTTTGAGCAGGGAAATGACAGTGGTCGGATTAGGTTTTAGAGCCCTCCAGCCATAGTGTGGGGAATGGACAGGGGAGGCCGGAGGAGGGACCCAGGTGACAGAGGATGAGCCCTGAGCTAGGGCAGCGGTGGAGGATGAGACCTGCTGGAATGTGATGGAGTCGCTTGTTGGATGTGGAGGATGAGGGAAGGGGTGGGACAGCAAGCGTGAAGAGATGCATTTCTTCCCATGGCTTGAGCGAGCTGGTTGTGGAGTCACAGCATAAGAGGAGAGGGACTCTGCTGTTGAGGTCTTTACCATCTGTTTGTGGGGGTTGTGGGGGTTGATAGAAGTCACAGTGCTAGGCAGCGTGTGACAAATGCCATTGATGGGACATAGAAACACTCCCATTTGTTCAATCCTCTCGGGGCCATAGGAGTAAACCTCATTGAGAAAGTGTCATTGTGGGGGCCAGCCCAGTGGCACAGTGGTTAAGTTTGCACTTTCCACTTCGGCACCCTGGGATTTGCAGGTTCGGATCCCGGGTGCGAACCTACACACTGCTTGTCAAACCATGCTGTGGCAGGCATCCCACATATAAAGTAGAGGAAGATGGGCACAGATGTTAGCTCAGGGCCAGTCTTCCTCAGCAAAAAAGAGGAGAATTGGTGGCAGATGTTAGCTCAGGGCTAATCTTCCTCAAAAAAAAAAAATTTAAAAAGCCTCCATGAAAAAAATTAAAAAAAAAAAAAAAGAAGGTGTCATTATGCCCTGAGGCATGAGTTGACCAAGAGTAGAAAGAAAAGCATTCCAGGTAGAGGGACCAGCATGTGATGAGGCTCTGAGGTTGCAAAGAGCTTGGTGTCCTTAGAAAACTGAGGGAAGGCTAGTGGCATACGAGGTGAGTGGGAGACCTAGGAAGCTAGTATGTGCAAAGGCTGGGAGGTAGGAACACATGTGATGTATTTCTGGGTAAAGAGGATTCTGGAGGTGCTAGTGAATTCTTGTATCCTCTCTCCAGTGGTGTTTTGAGTCCTCTTGGAGGTAAGACTCCTGCTGGCCTGGAAGGACCCCAGGTCAGTGTGTGGCTTGTGCCAGCTCCAGAAGGGTCTCCTGTGGGGGAGGCCTTGGGCTGGAATCCACAGCCCACCCACTCACCTTAGTAAGATCTAAGGGGCAGAGCTTGGGCTGGGAAGCAGGAGGCCTGGATTCTGGCCTTTCCTCTACCACTGACTTGCCAAGTGTCCTTGGGCAAGTCACTCACCTTATCTAGGTTTCAGTTTCTGCATCATGAAATGGAGGTGACAGTTCCTATCTTGCTGACTTCATTTGAATATTTAAAGATCAAATGAAATATTGTTATGTGAAAGGGTGCTACCACTATGCTATGAAAGGTAAGATATTATTATTTTAAATGGCAAGACTGTAGGTCACCAAGTCCCCTTTGAAACATTGAGATCCCAAGTTCATCTGCTTCAGCACATTTTTCCTGTGCACCTTCCTGGGCCAGGCTCTCATGGGGACACAGAGGGTAGTCCATGCCTTCAAGGAGACCCAACCAAGAGACAGTGTCCCAAAGCCAGTGGTTGCTGCAGGACAGCCGGGCTGCTGTGCGGGGAAATCTGTGAGGCTGTGCTGAGGTCGGCCCTTCCCTCCTGTGCTGTCACCATCTGTCTGCAGTGTCTGCCTCTCCCCTGGGCCAGGCGCTTCCCAGGTTCGGGAACCTCATCACTCTGCCCCAGTGCGGTCCCGGCTCGGCATAGCAGCTCCGTCAACAGTGGACTGACCAATGGATGAGTACAGTAGAGTCACAGACGAAGAGCTGTGGGAGCACTGAGAAGAGAATGGTAAATTGGGAAGGTTGAGAGGAGCTGATGTTGCGGCTGGACCTGAGATGATGAGTTCAATTCTGCCAGCTAGAGAGGAAAGAGAGGGGCGTCCAGGCAGAAGCTACAGCCTGGGTGAAGGCCTGGAGGTGGGAACCGTGAGCACGCTGGCGTGGCTGGAAGAGGGATGTGGGAGGGGAGGAGGAGGAGATGAGAGTGGAGAGGTTGACAGGAACCAGATTGGAAGGGCCTTATAATCCCGCTAAGAAGCTTGGGTCTCATCCTTTGGGAACTGGACCAAAGGAGGTGTGTGAGCAGCAGGGCACCCTCATTAGATTGGGGCGTTTGAAAGATCAGATGGGTTGGTGAGTTGGTGGTGTGGAGGTGGGGGCTTGGGGAAGGGGACAATAAAATCTGGTCCCAGTGTGGGCCCTTCGCACTCAGGTGGGAACATCCACCAGGGGAGCAGGGGCAAGTCCGAGGCCCGAGAGGGGCAGCTGCTTCCTTCTGGGTCACCTCACAGAGTGACAGCGCCCTCCCGTTGGCCCCCAGCTGCCACGCCCATGGCTCCTGCTTAAGCAGCTTGGTCCAGATTGCCTTTGGACAGAAGACCTGTCCCAACATTAGAGCAGCCCGGAGTGGAAGTTTCTCGGCAGCTTTCTGTGTCCTGGGCCTGTTCTCCCCTGCGCGAGGTGGACGTACAGGCTCAGACCAGGCACTGCCTTCTCTGGCCCCCTCCTCACGCATCCTGACGTCCCTCCATTCCTGTCTATAATGGCCTCCCTGCCCCTCCTGCTGGTAGGAGAGCAGGACAGCTCTGGGACCTGGGTCACCTTTCTCTCGTCATCTCCCAACCCAGCCCACGGGTGCTTTGGCCAAACCAGAGATAGAGAGGTCGAGTCTGGCCACCAAGCAGGGTTTGACTGGGGTGGGCTTCAGCAGGTTGGCACGTCCCACCACCGCCTTCAGTCACCCATGTTGTGCTGCCGTTAGGAATTATGGGTGCAGCTCTGAGGTTTGAGGGGCTGGACACTTGCCCCTCTGAGACTCCTAACAGGCACGGCAGCCTCGGCCCCTCCATCGCAGAGAGGAGGGTAAGTGGCCGGCCTGCATGTCAGAGAGAACGTGTGCCCTAGGAGAGGCTCAGGGTGACAGGCAGAAACAGACGTTGTCCAGCCCCCTGCTCCATGCTGGGCCCTGGCCTGTGAGCTTACCCAGTCCTCAGCCACCCTGCAGGGGGAGGTTGTCACCCCGCTTTGGAATGAGGTGAGGAGAAGGATGATGTCCCGGGTCACAGCGAGTGAGGAGTCGAGCCTTCCTGAACCTCGAGCGCATGTGCTTCCCTGCCTCACAAGGCTGGGAGAGGGGCCCCCTGTCACGGGAACCACTTGCCAAGAGCAAACGCCTGTCCATGCCCTCCCCTGAGTTCCCTGTGGGGTTACTCCCATTTGCAGTTGGGAAAACCAAAGCTGAGGGAATTGAAGAGCTTGTCAGATGTCAGTGTTCAGGCTGGGATTGGAACCACTTCTCATGCCCCAAGGCCAGGGCTTGTCTGGGTCACACTCGTTCCCAGGGCACAGCTCACTTGGAGGGTGGGAGGACAGAGGTGATGGCATGGCTCTGTGGTCCGGAAACTCACCCACCTTCTCCTTCTCATTCAGGAATTCGCCAGCCAGGGCTGCTTCGTGGCATGGCTGCCCCCCTCCTGGGACTCCCCTCCCCTTCCAAGCCACCTCTTCTCCCCCTTCTGGGTGACTGTACCACACGCTGCTTGGTCACCAGGGGCTAGATGCTGTATAGTCTCGGGTGCCCAGGCTAAGGAGTGTGGACTTTATCTACAAAGCAATGAAGGATTTTAGCAGGCATGACAGATGGTCACTTTTGTGGTTTAGAAAGACTGTGGTCCATGCAAGGACACCTTCAGTTGTCACCTCCCTGACACACTTCCTGATTACCTTTGCCCTGTGTTAGTCAGGATCCCTGCAGGAAACAGCTCACCTGTGATTGGATAATTGAGGAAGTTTTAGTACAAAGACTATTTGCATAGATGTAGGCAGGGGATAGGGAAAACTCAAGGGATGGTGCAGTACCCCAAAGCTAGTGACATCGTAGGAGGTGTCGCCTGGAGGACCGAAGGAAGGAAGCCATGTAGAGAGGGAACTATGTGGAGAGGGCTGCCTGATGGAAGCTGTGGCTTTCGTTGAAGGGGCACAGACAACCCACGGTGACCTGGCAGAGTCACTCTCTGTCCCTCCCTCCAGGCTTCCCACTGGCCCAAGGGTAAGGGAGCCCATCGATACAGTCCATACACAGAATCCAGGAGGAGTGCAGTATAGAGAAAGGTGGAGAATGGGTCTGGTGATAAATGGAAGGTAAGCAACACATGGCGCTAGAAGGACCCCCTCCCACCTCTGTGCCTCCATCAGACCCATAGCTTCTGTCTTTCAGAGCACCTGTAACTCTTCGTGTTTACACTCCTGTATTGCCCAGGAGAGGCTCCTTGAGGACAAAGGTGGAATCAGAATGGTCCCTGTGCCCAGTGGCCAACACTGGGCCTGGCCCACAGGAGGGCCTTGGCTGATGTTGGACGGAAGAAGAGAAGGGAGAGAGGGGAGAGATGATGATAATGCAGTGTGAACTAAAGGCATGGCAAGGCAAAAGCTAAGAAGCGAAGGTTGGAGAGATGCTGAGGCCTTCGAATCTCTAGGACTTGGTGACATGAATGTCGGGCAGAAGGTGCAAAGGGGTGATCGAAGGTGACTCTAGGTTTCAAACCAGAACCTAGGAGCACTGACCTCCCAGCCATAAGACCAGGCCTTAGCAGGGCTCGGTAGTGGCCTTTGGCCCTATCTTGTGTGACACATGTAGCCAGCTAGAGAGGAGTGGGGCTGAGACCCTTGGGAACCAGCCGTCGGAGCAGCCCCGTTTTAGAATGCCGTGTTGCAACATGTACAGAAATTGCCCCTTGCATCATTCTGTCTGCAAGTTTCTTACTCAACTCTCCCAAGACCTTTCCCCTGCAGGGAAAGAGGGGTCACCTTACTTTGCACAGAGCGCTCTTCATACAGTCATTTTCATCTTCCTTTCCCTCTGGCCCACTTTTCCTGGGACCCTCTTAGCCCTGTGCTGGTCTGTGGGTACAGACCCTGCTCTCCAGGAGCCTACGTTCTGGGAGAAACAGATGCATTGAAAGACAGTTACTGTGTGTGGTGATCATTTCACAGGATATACATATATGAATCATTATGTTGTATGCCAGAAACTGTTACATGTCAATTATATATATATATATATATATATAATATATATAAAGGACAATCACTATTCAGGAGTAGTCTTCTCAGCTTTTTTGAGCAGTGGAACCTTTTCTTCAAATACAGTCTTGTTTAGCCCACAAGGTGACACAGATGCTGGGGGCTGCCCTGGTTCATCAGGGGTGGTCTGAGTGTTCCGCGTGGTCAGCCTCTCACTTGTCCAGCCCCCACACCCCGGTCTCCAGAGCTCTGAGAACACAGTTGGAAACTCTCAAAGTATAGAATAGTAAGCGCTGGGCTAGGGACTCACTGAAGAGAGATGGTGAGGCCATTGCTCCCCACACGAGGGGGAAAGTGCAGCCCCTGGTGGGCTGAGACCCGGTCAGATGCAGCTTACTGAGCAGGGGCTCAGGACAGGTTGTGAGTGGATCATTTTTCTGGTAACTATAATAAGTATGCCTAGACAAGGTACTTCTCCTAATCTGTAGGCACCCAGACTGAATGAGCCCTAACCTCGCCACACGTTAATGTTGCTTCTGTGTTCAAAGTTTCCCTGTGCTCCATCTAATTGGGAATAAGTTAAGTACCTCTTTCCTAGGGTGGTTGTAAGGGCTAAAAGAATGAGTGTAAAGTGTCTAGCACAGGGCCTGGCTTATAGTACTTGACAAATGTTGTTATGAGTAGAAGTATTATGATTGAAAATAAGTGGGAGGACAGGTTTACCTGGGGATGGGCCAACTTGTCCACAGGGCTTTAGAGAAACATAACGGGGGAGGAAGGAGTAAAAGTGAAACTGGAGGACTTGAGAAATGACAAAGATACAGGCATCTCAGCATGGAGATGACACAACTCTTAAAGGGAAACCGCAACTCCAGTGAGCGTCCTGGAAGGAGCGGAGGCCCCGTCAGAGGAAACTGGAAATGTTGCGTGCTTGACTCAGCATCTCTTTCCTAAGCGAGGGGTTAGTGTCCCAGTGTGGGCGCAGGGAGGGATGTACCTCAACCCTGCTCTCAGGGAACTTGCAATCCAGAGAAGCACTTCTGGGCACAAATGACTACAATACGGGGAGGAAGCTGGAGAAGTGAGGAAGAGGGGGCCCTGGGGGGGATCAGGGACACTTCTTGGAGGAGTGGGCGATGGCACTGGGCTGTATCTACTTAAATCAACCACTCTGCTACACCACATGGCAGTGGTTCTCAAAATTCCATGTGCATCCCAATCGCCCGGAGCACTTGTAAAACCCGGCTTGCTGCGTCCCACCCCCAGAGTTTCTGATTCGCTAGGTCTGGGGTGGGGCCAAGAATTTGCCCTTCTGACAAATTCCTGGGGGATGCTGATGCCGCTGGTTTGAAGGCCACTCTTTGAGAGCCGCTGCTGAACGACTTCCTAGTGAGGAGCTGACAGCGCAGCGCTGGTGTGCTCTGCTGCATTCAGTTGCTCAAACTGCATCTCAGAGAACCTGCGGGAGAAATCTATAATTTCTGGGGGCTGGGGTGCAGCTGGAGAAGCGTTGGGAGATGAGAGGTCTAGAGCAGTCCTGAATTTTCCAAAAGGATGAGCAGCGAGTCTCATGAACTACAGCAAATAGTAACAGGTGCTAAACTGCAGTGAGTATTTCCTATCAGCCAGTTAGTATTCTAGATCGTTCACACGTGTCGATTTATTTAATAAGTCTTACAACAACCCCGTGGAGTAGATTCTATAATCAGTCCTATTTTACAGATGAAGAAATGGAGGCACAAAGAGGTTAAGAAACTTGCCCAGGGTCACACAGCTGTAAGTGGCAGAGCCAGGATTTAAACTCAGGTGCTCTGGGTCTGGAGCCCATGCTCTGCAATAGCTGCAAAATCCTGGCCGATTCTGAGGTCAGTGGTATAAACTGCATACTTGAGAGATGTTCATGTGGCCCTCGAGAGAAGGAACACTGGCTATCAGGAGCTGAGGTTGAGTCACCGAGAAGGAGTGGTATTAATGCCCCAGTTCCCTCTTCAGTGGCTTCACTAGATTCCCGAGCTGGCCTCGGCCTGTGGGTATCAGCATGGTCCCTGAGCGTGGAGGGTGACCAGCAAGCCAGCGTGGTCCCTGCCAGGGAGGAACAGCTGTCCCAGACAGGAGCTTATCCTAGAGTTGCGGTTTCCTGGTGATTCCAGCGTCCACCCTCAGTCCGGCCTTGTGGGGTTTGTTTTTTTTTTTAATCAGCAACCCGCACAAGGATTTTGACACAGAGCATGCAGGAGAGACAAAGAAGGGTGGGAAAGCAAATATTTTATGTGAACTAACTGAAAGCCTGCAGTGAAGCGTTGAATCTGGCAGGATGATGTTGAAGAGGAAGAAATGTAAAATCAGCTGTTGGTTAAACGTGTCTTGGCCTCTTTCTTTGGTACCCTTGGCCTCCCCCAGGCTTTGGGGTGTGGTGAGTCATGAAACTGAGCAGAGTTGGGATTTCCGATTAGGCTGACCCTCTGAAAGGATGCATGTTTAGAAACATACACAGTGACCTCTCTACCCTCAACAAGCAGGAAGCACTTGTCTCCATGCCTGCTGGCTTGGCCATGCCACCTTCGCTTGCAGAGACAGTTATACTAGCCTCTTCACTGGTGCCCCATCTCCAGCTTTGTGCTCCACGCTGATTCCTGGAATGATCTTTGGAACACACAGGCCAACCATTCTCTCCCTTGGTTCCCATAGCTCTCAGATGAGGCCCAATCTCCTTAACTGAGCATTCAAGGCCTCACGTGATCCTGCGCCTGCCACCCTCTCCAGCCTGCCTCCGCTGCCTCTCTCTGATGTGGATCCAGCTCTCTGGTTGCATCAGGTCGTTTGCTGTGTCCTTGAACGTGCTTTTCCACCTCTGGGTCTTTGCTCACACTGCGCTCTTGACCTGAAGTGCCCTTCCCCCAGCCTCTCTTTTTCCATACCCTGCCCATCCTTCCTATCTCTGTGCATCTTCCTCAAGAAGCCTTCTTTAGAACCAAACCCACTTCAAAAAAACTTTCATTTACACTTTAACACTAGGACCTGGGCTGGATATTTGGAGGTGTATAGGACAGGCTCCCTGCCTTCTGGAAGTTCACAGCTTGGAGAAATACAGTTTGGGGGAGCACACGTTTTGGAGAGACAGTTTGTATAACAATTTGTCTGTATATTCCTCTCTCTCCTGTCTGACTGTAGGCAGGGACAACGCTGATTCGAGGATCCCGGAACCTAGCATGAGACCTGGTACAGGGAAGATGTCAGAAAAAGCTTATTGACTTCCTCAAGGGTAAGGACTGTATCTTTTTCTTCTCGTTGCCCACTCCCTGCCTCTGCAGTCATGTGCACTCTAGGGACCTGGGAAATACAGTGTGGGATCCAGTATTACATTTTGTGTTACCCGGAATAACTGTTGTCATCGTTTATCCATTTATTCACTTGTTCACTCATTCAATACATTTATCAGGTAAGTGCTCTTTGCCAAGACCTGTGTAGGTACTGCAGATATACTGGTGAGGAGAAAGGCTGGGTAGACCCAGTCTCTGCCCTCCTGGAGCTTTTGAAGTTCAAGGTCAAGCTGAGAAGAGGGAGTACACTCCTCACTAGAATGTTCAGCAAAGGGGTCCTTTAGGGAAAGACCAGAAACTGATATGAATGTAGCCCTGACCGTGTGTATTACACTGCACATGCATCCTGTTATTTAGGCTTTACAGCCCTGGAGGTAAGTGTTCACAACAACCTTAAAATGAGATGAAGAAACTGAGTCTTACAAAGGTGATAGCTAGTTAGAAGAAGAGCTGGGACTGGAATCCTGGTTGTTCTGATGCCAAAGCCCTTGCTTGTTCTAATTCACCTGGGCCTGGATGGGAGGGAGAATGGCAGAGTGAGGGGCAGAGGGAGAGAGGGAAGGAGAGAGAGGGAACCTGAATCTAGGTTTTTAACCACCTCCTCAGTCCTGTATTGGGATGGTGCTGTGGAGGTGGCTTGGGCAGGAGGCATAGCCTAAATCTGGGGCTTTTCCATCACTGCCATTGGGCAATCTCCAGAATTAAGGTTGTCATTTCTTGTGCACCTAGTGTTGAGAAAGAGGCTCAGACCTGAGATAAACTCAGGGGAATTTGAACCCAGGCAACTAGCCCAGTGTGGCCTCTGCCAGGCTACTCCCCTTGGGCCTTGAGGCATGTTTTCTACAGCAGTTTGGACACTCTTTATGGCCCACACTTCCCCTCTTGTCTGCCCAAACCTCAGTCTTATACAAGGTGCAGATGGGGAAGAAATGGCTTGGCCACTCTGAGAGCCCTCCATTAGGACATTTCAACTAAGATATCAAATATCTTGGCACAAACTTGCTCATAATATTTACTCATTATCCTTTTGATAGCTGTAGGATCTGTAGTGATGTTCCTTCTTTATTCCTAATACTGGTAATTTTTGTCTTTATTCTTTTTCTCTTGACCAGTCTGACAGGAGGTTTATCAGTTTTTTTTTTTTCCCAATAACAATGTTTGGTTTCAATGATTTTCTCTATTTCCCTGTTTTCAATTTTATCTACTTCTGCTCTTACCTTTATTATTTCCTTCCTTTGTTTTGCTTTGAATATAATTTTTTTCCTATTCTTAAACTTAGATTATTGATTCCAAGCCTTTATTTTCTAAATATAACAAATGTTATAATAAAAAATAAATATAATATTTTCTAAATATAAGCATTTAATGCTATAAATTTCCCTCTACAAACTGCTCTAGCTGCATCCCATAAATTTTGATATCTCGTGTTTTCATTTTCATTCAGTTCAAAATATTTTAAATTTTCCTTTGTATTTTCTTCTTTGACCCATTGTTGATTCAGAAGCATATTGTTTCCAAATATTTGGGAATTTTTTAGATATCTTTCTGTTATTGATTTCTGGTTTGATTCCATTTTAATTAGAAAACATGCTTCATGTGATTTCAATTCTTTCAAATTTGTTGAGGTTTGTTTCACGGGTAGAATATGGTAATGTGATGTGTCTTCACAGATCTTTTTTCCCCCAAATCTTTAATGTATACTTGAAAAGAGTGTTTATTCTGTTGATGTTGTGTGTATGGTGTTCTAGAAATGTCACATCAAGTTTGATGTTCTCATTTGAGTCTTCTGTATCCTTGTGATTTTCTGTCTACTTGTTCTATCAAACACTGAATGGAGAGAGGAAATTTGAAGTCTCCAACTATAATTGCAGATTTATCTACTTTTCCTTTCAATTCTATCAGATTTTGCTTCATGTATTTTGAAGATCTGATATTCGACTATGTGTAATTAGGATTATTATGTCTTCTGGATAAATTGGCTCCCTTATCATTGTATCATATTCCTCTCTCTTTCTGGAAATATTCCTTATTCTGAATCTACTTTGTCTAATATTAATATAGCCACCCTAAGTTTCTTTTGATTAGTGTTTGTGTGGTGTAACTTTTTCCATCCCCTTTTAACCTATCTATGTTTTTATATTTAAAGTGAGCTTCCTATAGATAGCATATAATTGAGTCTTTTGTTTGTTTTTGAAGATTTTATTTTTCCTTTTGCTCCCCAAAGACCCCCAGTACATAGTTGTATATTCTAGTTGTGGGTCCTTCTAGTTGTGGCGTGTGGGACGCCACCTCAGCATGGCTTGATGAGCGGTGCCATGTCCATGCCCAGGATCTGAACCAGCAAAACCCTGGGCCACCAAAGTGGAGCACGCAAACTTAACCACTCTGCCATGGGGCCGGCCCCGAGTCTTTTGTTTTTATCTAGTTTGACAATCTCTGCCTTTTAATTGGGTGTTTAGATTTTTCACCATTAGTATAATTATTGATGTGGCTGGATTGAAATCTACCACCTTGCTAGTTGTTTTCTATTTTTGCCATCTGGTCTTGTGTCCTCTTTTCCTGCCTTATTTTGGATTAATTCAGTATTTTATTATGATTCCACTTTATTCTACTACTAGGTTATTGATTATACCTCTTTTAAAAATTTCTAGTGGTTGGTCTGGGGTTTACAGTATACATCTTAAACTTATCACTGTCTATCTTTGAATAATAATGTATCATTTCATGTACAGGGTAAGAACCTTATAACAGTATCCTTCCATTTTCTCACTCCTATCCTTTGTGCTATTTTTGTTATACATTCTACTTCTACAGATGTTATAAACTCTATGATATATTGTTACTATTTTTGCTTTGAACAGTCAATAATTCTTTAAAGTGATTAAAAATAAGAATAAAATCTTTATATTTGCCTTTCTTTTTTGTTGCTTTCCTTCGTAATTTCCAGTACTCTTCATTTCTTTGTGTAAATCTGGATTTCCATCTGGTATATCTATTCCATCTAAAGGACTTCCTGTTACATTTCTTTCTGTATACATCTTGCTGGCAATGAATTCTCTCAGTCTATGTTTAAAAAAAGTCTTTATTTTACCTTCTTTCTTTCTTTTTTTTTTTTTTGCTGAGGAAGATTTGCCCTGAGCTAACATCTGTTGTCAATCTTCCTCTTTTTGTATATGAGCTGCCATCACAGCATGGCCACTGACAGATGAGTGCTGTAGGTCTGCACAGGAACTGAACCTGGGCCCCCAAAGCAGAGCACACTGAACTTAACCACAAGGCCACCACCTCTTTGTTATACCTTCCTTTTTGAAAAATATTTTCATTGGAATAGATTTCTGAGGTGACAGCCTTTCTGTTCAGCTCTCTAAAGATGTCACTTCATCATCTTCTGGCTTGCATAAATTCTGATAAGAATCTGCAGTGATTGTTATCTTTGTTCTTTTGTATTTTTCTCTGGTTGCCTTTAACATTTACTTTTTATTTTTGGTTTTTGGCAGTTTGACTGTTTATCTAGGAGTGTATGTGTTTTGTATTTATCCTGCTTGGGGTTCTCTGGAATTCTTGGATCTGTGATTTGTTGTCTTTCATTAAATTGGGAAAATTCTCAGCCATTATCTCTAAATATTTTCTCTTCCTTCTCTCTTTTTTTCCTTCTGAGGCTCCAGTTGTGTACGTATTTTGACCTTTTGATGTTGTCCCAGTTCTTGGATGCGCTGTTCTCCCCTTGCCATCCCCACTCTTTTTTCTCTTTGTGTTTGAGTTTGGTTAATTTCTATTGATCTAGATTCAAGTTTACTGATTCTTTCCTGGCTGTTTCCAGTTTGCTGGTGAGTACGTCAAAGGACTTCTTCATCCCTATGATGTTTTTCACTTCTTTTGTACTTCATTTGACTCTTTTTTTAAAATAGTTTTCATCTCTCTGTTAAAATTCCCCATCTGTTTCTACAGGTTGTCTATTTTTTGCTAGATTCTTTTACTTATTAATCATAGTTATTTTAAAATCTCTGTCTTATAGTTGCAACCTCTCATAGCTCCAGTTATTTCTCTCTCTCTTTCTAATAGCTTTGAGCTATAACTCACATACCACACAATTCAGCATTTAAAGTGCACAATTCAGGGGATTTTTAGCACGGTCACAGAGTTGTGCAACCATCACCACAGTCAATTTTAGAATATTTCATCACCTCAAAAACAAACAAACAAACAAAACAGAAAGAAACAAAAAAGTGAAAACCCTATAGTTGCCAGGGCAACTGGAGGGAAGGGAGAATAGATACAGAATTTCGGTTTGGGGGATGAAAAGGTTCTGGAACTAGATAGTGCAGTGTTGTGAATGTACTTAATACCACTGAATTGTACACTTTAGGATAGTTACAATGGTACATTTTATTTTATCTGTATTTTACCACAATTACATAAAAAAAAAAAACCCTGTACCCTTTCATTCCCCAGTTCCCCATGCCTCACAACCCTAAGCAACCACTCCTCTACATATTTGTCTATTCTGGACATTTCATGTAAATGGAACCATATAATATGTGATCTTTTGTGTTTGACTTCTTTCACCTAGCATTTGTTTTCAAGGTTCATCCTTGCTACAGAATGAATGTTTGTGTCCCGCCGCCACCCCCCCCCCCAATTCATATGCTGAAAACCTAATGCCCAAAGTGATGGTATTAGAAGGTGGGGCCTTTAGAAGGTGATTAAGTCATGAGGGTGGAGCCCTCATGATTGGGATTGGGGTCTTGATAAAAGAGACCCAAGAGAATCAGCTCACCCCTTGCACCATGTGAGGTGATAACAGAAGTCGGCAGCCCAGGAGGGGGCCTTTCCCAGAATCCAACCATGCTGGTGCCCAGATCTTATACTTCAGCCTCCAGAACTGTGAGAAATAAACTTTTGTTGTTTTCAGCCACCCAGTCTGTGGTATTTTGTTATAACAGCCCATATGGCCTAAGACAATCCTTTTGTACCACGTATCAGTATCTTTTTATGGTCAAATAATATTCCATTGTATGAGTACTGCATTTTGTTTATCCATTCATCAGTTGTTGGACAAATGGGTTATTTCTGCTTTTTGGCTTTCATGAATAATGCAGCTATCAGTATTCATGTACAAATTTTTGCATAAGCATATGTTTTTGTTTTTCTTGGTGTATACCTATGAGTGGAGTTGCTGAGTCAAATGGTAACTCTATGTTTAATTTTTTGAAGAATTGCCAGACTGTTTTTCAAAATGTCTGCACCATTTTATATTCCCGCTGGCAGTGTTTGAGGGTTCCAATTTCTCCATATCCTTGTCAGCACTTGTATTTATCTGACTTTTTGATTCTAGCCTATCCTGGTGGGTGTGAAGTGGTCTCTCATGGTTTTGGTTTGCATTTTCCTGATGACTAATAATGTTAAGCTTCTTTTTATGTGCTTATTGGCCATTTCTACATCTTAATTGGAGATATGCCTATTGAGATCCTTTGCTCATTTTTAAATTGAGTTGTCTTTTTATTATTGAGTTGCTGGAGTTCCTTACAGATATTATATATTATAGATACCAGTCACTTATCAAATATATGCTTTACAAATATTTTATCCATTCTCTGGGCTGTCTTTTCCGTTTCTTGATAGTGTCCTTTCAAGCACAAGTTTTCAAATTTTGATGAAGTCCTTCCCAGTGCCCTTGCCCCATCCTCAGTTTTCCATAGTCCCTGTCCTCCTGGGTCACAGAGGGCATCTCCATGCTCTTCCCGTCCCTGAGTAGTAGCCTGCTGTCGGCTTGTTACTTGTGCTAGGGTCATGGTGGGCCTAGTGGGCTCTCTATTATGCAGGTTCGACTGGGTCTTGAGCAGGCCCTGTACGTCTTGATCTTGGAGATAGGGCTTTCCCAGCGTTCCTGAGCCTCTTCCCCATGGCAACTATCTGCTGCTGCCTTAGTCCTGTGGTTGGTCTAGGGTGGGGAAGAGTTTCACCCAGTGGAGTGACATCAAGCCCACCTCTGTTTGGTGTCACTGCAGGTCCCTAGGCTGGAGACAATTTCCTGTCTTGCCCCCAGGGGCAGGGTGTTGTCTGTCCTTTCTACAACAACACTGGGTCTTAGACTGTGCCCTAGGGGTGACAAGAGGGTTTCCTACCCCTCCCCTAAGAAACCATGA